GCCTGAAGGGGCTCCAGGAGAGCTGGAGAGGGACTGGGGACAAGGGATGGAGGGACAGGAGCCAGGGAATGGCTTTAAGCTGGAAAAGGGGAGGTTTAGGTTGGATATTGGGAAGGAATTCCTGGCTGAGAGGGTGGGGAGAGGTTGGGATGGAATTCCCAGAAGCTGCCCTGGATCCCTGGCAGTGCCCAAGGCCCTGCACCCAGGGACACCCAGGGACAGACAGGGACACAGGGGGACACCCAGGGCTGAGGCCCCCCTCAGCTGGGGCTCCTCTCCAGGCTGAGCAGCCCCAGCTCCCTCAGCCTTTCCTGGGCACGGAGATGCTCCAGCCCTTCCTCATCCTCACATCCCTCCTCGGGACCAGATCCAGGAGCTCCAGGTCCCTCCTGTCCTGCTGATCCCAGAGTTGGACACAGGATCCCCAAGGATGAAACTCCACAAACTCTGGACCACCTGGGCCTTGAGGTGTGAGGCCCATTGAGAGCTGAGATCCCAGAAACCTCCCCCATTCCTGTCATCCCAGCTGAAAATGATCTTCCCACCCCAAAATCCACATTGTGCCAACCTCCAGGCTCCCGACCATGAGCAGAACTTCCTGTGTGACACAACCCAACTCCTGCTTCCATCCAAGCTCTGGGAAGCCTCAGAGAAAACCAACAAACCAACATCCTCACCTCCCTCCCCTGGATGATATCCAGGAGCTCCAGGTCCCTCCTCTCCTGTTAGGGAAGATGAAACAGGAGAGCCTTATGAATATGATTGCCTGGCAAAAGATGCTGAGAATATGGAAACTATAAGTGAGATTGAAATGAAAGCAAGCTCTGAGATCCCTCAGTTACTGAACAACTGGAAAACAATGGTGTGGCCAGCTGAAGGTGATCCCCTTTTGATGGAACAACACCCTCTGCCTGCAGACAGGCCCAAGGGTCAGAGCAGACCCTGCAGCTTGGCAGAGGGGCCCAAAGAGGAGTTTTTAGGGTTTAAAATGTAGCACAGTATGGGAATGTAATGATTCTTACAGGCTGTATGTAAATGCTGGAGGATTTGTATCTTGGACTGGATTGGTGAGTGAGAATGAGAATATTCAGCACAGAAGAAGATTTATGGTATTGGAACGGGAACCTCGCTCTCTTACCCTCTCTTTTACTCTCTCATCCTCTCTCCCCCTCTCTTCTCTCAGTCCTGCTCTGAGCTGTGCCTGGCAGCTCCAGCAGGGCCCTGCACTTGGCCCTTTGCAATGAACCCCAAATTCCCAGCCCTGGCTGCAGAGATCTCTGCTCTCCCTCCATCCTGACCATCCTACCCCCTGACGCTCCTACACTCTCCCAAGATCCAGAGCCAAGGGATTTGGGGACAAGGGACATTTCCATGTTCCATGTAACTCCCACACTTCCAGGAGCCACCTCTGCTTTCTCTGCACTCCAAACCACATCCCTGCTTCCCGAAGTTTACGAGGGAAGCTCTCAGTGTTGCGCTGTTGAATTTCCAGCCTCTCCATTCCGGGGGTTGTTTTCACAGGGATTTGGGATAATGCAGCACTTCAGGCGCCTCATTATTGCCCCAAAGGTGCCGATGTTGTTCAAGTGCCCCTCCTGTGACAAGTGGCTCATTATGGCTCCTCTCAGTCCCCCCCAGAGATCCCATTATATCCAACACCAGTGGGTGTGGGAAGAGGATAATTTGCATCCAGCATGAGCTTTTCCCATTATTCCCACTTCTCAGGAACAAGGAAAACAAATCATCTCGACCGCTGCTCCCTTTTTATTCCCGCTGCAGCTCCTTTTTGCCAGCAGTGGTTTTGCTTTGCTCCCTCTCCTTGGAATATTGTTGTTTGCTCCTCCACTCCGGGCTAATGCTAGGTCCTCCTTCCCCGGGCAATTGGGAAAAATGTCTTGGCTAAAATGGCTTTTTATGCTTGGAAAAGAAAAGCGTGGTTGGAGAGAAAAGCTGGATCAATAGGTGCCGTGTTGCTGTTTATTCCCAGGATTTTGCCTTTGTTCCTTTGCATTTGGGGGGCTTTTAAGGCATTTTTTCCTCCTCTTCTCACGGCTTTTCTGCTGATGGAAATTGTCCCATTTGGAATTTGAAATGCCTCTCATCCCTCTCTCTTTCCACCTGGGTTAGGGATAGTTTTGAGGAGGAAATCCCTAAGTTCAGGGTTTGTTTTGTCACAAACTCCTAAAATCCCAGTTAAGGGAAGAGAGTAATGAATCCATACCCCTCCCATATTCCATGTGACAGGCAGGCCATGTTTTCCAGGTTTTTCCAGCCCTTTCCCAATTATTCCCACTGCCAAATCCCTGCAAAAGTACAGATGGAAGTAGAAATATCTCAGCCATTGGATCCTGGGAATGAGGGGCTGGAGCTCAACCCTGGGATCTTGGGAATGAGGGGCTGGCTGCAGTTGGATCTCAGCCTTTGGATCCCAGGAATGAGGGGCTGGATCCAGTTGAATCTCAACCACTGGATTTTGGGAATGAGGTGTGGCTGCAGTTGGATCTCACCCCTTGGATCCTGGGAATGAGGGGTGGCTCCAGCTGGAACCCTTGGATCTGGGAATGCCCAGCTGAAGTTGTTTCCTGATGATTTCCATGTGTTTTCCCTCCTTTTCCTGATGGATGGGTGAATTCTTGGCTGGCTGAGTTATTCCCTGGCTGCCTGGCCATGCCGTGATTTCCAGTGATGCCTTGTGCAGGCTGCCCTGGAGCAGAGGCTGGATGGAGTTCCAGAATAAAGCAGGGATTGATTCAAAGCATCTCCTCCATGCATCCACCTTGGGCAGCACCAGAGCCCAGCCAGGCCTGCACCCAAGATGAACCAAAATGGCCCCAAAATGCACGGCCGGGCACGGGGTCTCTCCCTGGGATCAGTTCTGCTCCATTTGCACCTTGCAGTTCATTGTCCCATTCCAGCTTTAGCCCCTGCAGTCCCACCCTGCTTGTTTTTCTCTCTCCAGCCCACGGGGTTTATGTCGCCACATTTCTCTTCTCAGACAAAAGCAAGGCACAATTCTGCCCAAGAATATTTCTGGGTTTCACATTCTCTGAACCTCAGAGAAAGGAAAAACAATTCTTCTCTCACTTGCTGTGCCCGTGTTTGTGGCACAGCAGAATGCAATGTGGGCATTGTTCACCCACAGTGATGGGGTTTGGGTTCCTGTCAGGGCCAGGTGTGTGTGTGTGTGTCAGGACTGAGGGTGACAGGCACGAGATTCTGGGCAGTGTGTGCAGGGCTGAGTGCTTGGCAGATTCAGTTTAGATGCAATGTAATATAGTATAGAATAATATAGTATAATAAAGCAATTAATTAGCCTTCTGATAAGATGGAGTCAGATGCATCCTTTTCTCCCATTTTCTCCCTGCCATGGTGATACAGTAACCTCTTGAGCTAGGTTTGATAAGCTCTCTGAGGCCTATAACACACCTAAGATAGCTCAGCTACTCTTGGAGGCACAAAAATCAGCAGGATGGCTTCTGTTGCAGTGTTGAAACAAAGAAGTTTAATAAAAGGCAAAATAACAAACCGAGAGAAGCTGAGCTAAGTGCCACACGTTCTTGCTCTTAGTAAAACACTTCACAAAAGCGATTGGTTTCTTTGTTCACTCCTTTTTCTAGTTAATTGCCCAGGCGGGACTTTTTGGCTTTTGTCCAATTAGCTATCCTTAAGTTTGAGGTGAAGTTCCCTATGCCTGTGAGGTGTCTTTTTCACCTAACTGAGGAGAGAAACTTCTGGGCTTCTTTCCTTTTTGAGGGGACAAAGGATAGTTTGTCACTCTGTCAACAGGGGACACACTCCTATACCACGGGGGTCGTCCTGGTTCGATATGTTTGTGCTCTTGGGGCTCTAAGGACCTGCAGAGTCCCTGTTGGTGGCAGCTTTACGTTTTGGAGAAATGCAGCAAAGTTTGCAAATTTCTGTCGGCGATGGAGAGAGATGGGGAGACTGACTCGGTGATCAGAATCCGATTTTATTGTGGGATACAAACGCTTATATTCCATTTCAGTGAGACTAGTAATGTGTACCACAATGATGGGGTTAAAATCACAAACATAAACTTATGCAAATAACAACATCTCAGGCTTGCAGAGTTTAATGGGATTTTCTTTTTCTGGTAAACCTGTTTGATTTAATCTTTTTGCAAACTAGGTTTGATTTTCAAAGTTCTGTTTGCTTTTGCTAAGGCATCCTGTTATCAAATCTCTTATGTCAACCAGGTCCAAAGTCCATCATCTGTCTTGTGTCCCCCAGCATTCCAACAAATTTCTAGCGTGGTACCGCCCTGTCAGCCATGGCGAGTGGCTGCTAACGGAGGCCATTTTCCATGGGAAAAGAAGTCATTTCCCCAGAGTCTGGTATGAGCACAGTGGTGGCCTGTGGGGCTCTAAGGACTTGCAGGGTTCTAGCTGCTGGCAGCTTTAATTTTGGAGAAGTCCTGCAAAGTCCTGCAAATTTCTATCTTGGCACCGCCCTGTCGGCCATGGCGAGTGGCCGCAAACGGAGGCCATTTTCCGTGGGACAAAGAAATCATTTCCCCAGGGTCTGGGTATTGGATTAAAGGTGGCCTTTGGGCTCTAAGGACTTGCAGGGTCCTAGTTGCTGGCAGCTTTAGTTTTGGAGAAATCCTGCAAAGTTTGTAAATTTAACACATGGAACATTGCAGTCAGACATTGTGTGTGGCCACAACTGGAGGCCATTTTCCGTGGGACAAAGAAATCATTTCCCCACAGTCTGGGTATTGGATTAAAGGTGGCCTTTGGCCTCTAAGGACTTGCAGGGTCCTAGTTGCTGGCAGCTTTAGTTTAGGGCCTGAGATTTGAATCATTTGTCCTTGGTGCCCAGCTGGAGCAGGAATTGTTTTGTCTCCCTGCTCTGTGCACAGAGCTCAGCATCCCCTGATATGAGGCCCAGACCCACATACTAAAGCAGCACAGAATGTGAAAAACAGAAAAGCTGAACCCGAGGCATCCATGCTTTCCCTAATTCCATCTTTTCCCCAGGAAAAGCCTACGCCCCGGAGTTCTACTATGACACATACAACCCGCTGTGGCAGAACCGGCCGCGGGTCTATTCCTACAGCCTGCAGTGGACGCAGATGAACCCCAGCGCCGTGGATCGGATCCTGGCCTATCGCCTGGGCATCCGCCAGGTGAGATGGGGTCACGGGGGGTTTGCCTCTGGGGCCTCCTGGGCTCCGGGAGAACTGCTGGGCCGCTAGGGAACTCTGCTTTATTTACTTTATTTTTATTTTATTTTATTTTATTTTATTTTATTTTATTTTATTTCATTTCATTTCATTTCATTTCATTTCATTTCACTATATTTTACTATGTTTTATTTTATTTTAATATTTTAATTTTATTTTTTTATCCATTCCATTCTATTCCATTTCACTCTGTTTCATGTTATTTTACATTATTTTTTTCATTTCATTTTATGTTATTTCATTTTACTTCAATTTATCTTATTTTACTTTTGAAATTTCATTTTATTTCATTTTACTGTATTTTATTCTTACCTTAGTTTACTTATTTAATTTAATTTAATTTAATTTTATATTTTAGTTTCTTTTTTGTTATTTTACTACATTTTTATTTTATTATTTCATTTTATTTCACTTTATTTTTATTTTATTTTACTTTTTTGCGTTATTCTATTTTTATCTTATTCTATTTTATTATTTAATTTCATTTTTTTTATTTTACTTCAATTTGTTTTATTTTACTTTTGAAACTTCATTTTATTTCACTTTAGTTTTTAAGTTTGTATTTTATATTATTCTACCTTTATTTTAATTTAATTTGATTTGATTTGATTTGATTTGATTTTACTACATTTTTATTTTATTATTTCATTTTATTTCACTTTATTTTTATTTTATTTTACTTTTTTTACTTTATTCTATTTTTATCCTATTTTTATTTTTATTATTTTACTTTATTTCATTTAGTTTTAGTTTTAATTTATTTTATTTTATTTTATTTTAATTTAATTTTCCCAGTCCATTACCACAATCATCCTCCTCCAAGTCATCCTTCTCCATTTGCCTCCTTCCTTGGGAACCTCCAGGTGATAATTTTATGGAATTTTTCCAGCCCCCCACTGAGCTTTTCTATCAGATAATCCCCCAGATTGATCCTGAAAATCTTTCTTTGGACATTCAGCACCTGGAATAATAATTTGGGTGGGAATCCAGTGGAAGGATTCCAATGGATTTTGCAGAGGGATATTTTGGAAAATATAAGGAAGAAAATCGTTTGCTATCCCACAGATTTCCCACTGAAATGAGCTTTGGAAAACAAATCCCCAGTTTTAGCATGTTATTTATTGGGATTTGGTGTTGGGCGACTTCCCTGGAAGTTGTGGAGTTCCTGGGACACGCCCAGGGAAGGGCTCTGGTGCCAGGAGGGGGCTGGAGCTGGGATCTTCCTGAATCCAAGGAACTGGAGATGAAACTGGGGATTGTCAGAGCCCAGGACATTGCTGTGGCCGCCCTGGGGGACTCCAGACCCTGGCAGGGGCTCAGAGACCTTGGCACGGAGTCACAGACACCTGGGCCTTTGATTGTAGCCCATGGAAACAATTCCCAACTTTGTGTGAGGAGTTACAAGCCACAAGGGTTTGAGTGGAATGGCAGTGAATTTATCACAGGGTGAAAATGGAGAATTTTGGGGTTTTAGAAGGGGGGTTCAGGGGACAAGATGGAGGAATCTGGGCATGTCCTGTCCTTCTCCTTCTTCTTCTTGGCCTCCATCTTCTGCTGTGATGGTGGCACTTCTGGATTGGTTTAGAGTAGAGACAGACTGTCTGACATGGGTGATAGGGATTGGAAAATTATTGTAAATAAAGTACAGGTAGGTTTTAGTATAAAAAGACAACACCACCCCAAGGGCTGTCAGTGTGCCACGAAACGACTGTCTTGGTTTGGAAAGCCAGGTGCCTGCTAAGGAAGGCAGGAGCCTCCCCTGAAATGGAGAATGTGAACCCTCCCCACCCCTCCCAATTGCTATAAATTTTAAATTAAGGCGCTCTCAGGCAACAAAAATATGGGAGCAAGAAATAACAGTTCTTTAATAGGGAAAGGAAAAAATCAAAGGATGAAATGAACAATGCAGTGACCAAACCAACAGTGCCAGAGTCAGAGCCCAGCCTGACACCCTGTGGGTCAGGGTGCTGGCAGCAGCCCCATTGGAATTGTGGCTCAGCCCTCCTGCAGTGCCAGGGGTGGCTCTGCTGGAGCAGGGATCCTGGAGAAGGGTGGAGGCTTCCTCTGCAGATCCAGGGCAAGGAGAGGCAGCTGCTGCTCCTCTGGGCAATCCAGTGCAGAAGCCGTGCTGGTGTTCCAGAATCTCCAGATTATATCCAGGCAGGAATGCTTGGCTCCTCCCTCTGGGCTCCCATCTCCCAATGGGATGCTGTAGTTCTTATCAGCCATGCAGGGACATTCCATGGCTGTTATCAGCAGGTGTCCCCTCCCGAGGGTGGAGTGGGTGTGGAAGAGATAAGGAAAAACTGCCCAATGAACAGAAGACAGCTGCCATGCAGATGGTGATAGAGCACATCCTGCCCGGCAGTCTGGGACACCGACCTGCCGGACAGGCCTCAGCGAGTCAGAGAAAGGATGACAGAGATAAGGGAAAATAAACAACCTTGAGAACAAGAGCCAAGGAACTCTGTCTTCTTCTTCTTCTTCTGTGGTCTCGGGGCTGGGAAAAAGAGACTTTCCAACACCTCGGGGTCATCTCAACCCCAGAGACTTCATCAGGGGGTGTTTAATCTGTGTCTGTGCAGCTCCTGGCGCTGCGGGGCATGAATCGGCTCTGGGGGTCCCAGGCCCTGGGAGGAATCAGGAAATTCTGGAAGGAGCTTGCTGAGGGAAAGGAATTTCTGATGGAATTTGTTGCGTTAGGAATTTTAGCTGCTTTTCCCATTTAAATTTCATTTCATTTTAATTATCTGTTTATGTAATTAATGGAGTTACTCTGTGTCAGCCTAATCCAAATATTCCCATTTTTCCTCCCCAATGCCCCATTTCTTTGGGAATTCTATCCCAGACTCTCCTCACCCTCCCAGCCAGGAATTCCTTCTCCATATCCCACTAAGCCTGGCTGAGTCACAGGAGCATGTGACACATTCCTGTCACATCCTGCTTCTCTGCTGCCACTGGGATTGAGAGGAATTCCTGTCCCCGAGAGGGATTCAGTGCTGGGAAAGCAGGACACAGGGAAAACTTCTGACATTCCAAGCACTGGTTAAGGAGAATTCCAAAAAAAACCATCACAGGTAATGTTATAAATATTATTTGATAAAATAATTAAGCTTGGCTTAATGACAAATCAGGGAAGCCAGGAAAGGAGGGAAAAGGAATCATAAAAATAGGGAATTGTCGCTTTTCCACTTATGGTACAAGAATGGAAAGATGGGAAAGTGGGAACACAGGTCCCCCAGGAGAAATGGATTTATTTATTATTCATTTTATTTCAGACCCCACCTGAAGAGTAGGAATTCTGCAGATTCCCTCTCTCAGGATCACAGGGATCACATTTGCTCCAAAGGGGAAGATGTTAGCAAGCTGGGAATTTCCAGCAAATCCATTGGATTTGCTCTGGGACATGAAAAATACTGAAAGTTTTCTTCAGAACCAGTCACAAAAATTACATTTGTAGCAATTAATTCATTAAGGCAACAAAGAGAGAGTTGGAACTCCACATTTTTATTGGAATATTCCTCATAAAGGATTTTGTTTTATTGGAATATTCCCATAAAGGATTTTAATCTTTCTCCTCCAAGGGAATATTTTCTGTCCCAAAGATTTCCCTGCACGCATTGATTTTGGAAATCTAAAGAGGCTTTGTTGGGTTTTCTTTGTGGAATAAGGGAGGAAAAATTTGGCCAAAAAAAAAAAAAAAAAGAGATTGTGACATGCAGGGACACGTTTTTCATTGATGTTCCTGGCATTGGGAAATTACATTAGAGCAGGAATGGTTGTGATTCCCAATTTCCACTTTTCAGGGCTGATTCCTCCTGTGCTGCTTCTTCACAGCTCTGAGGCTGCATTTGCAAACAGCAAGGTGAGGTTTGGACCAGGTCAGCTCCTGCCAACTTAAAACTGGTTCTAAGCTTCAGATGGATCAGGAAAATATTTATGGATCATGCTGAAAATTAAATTTTTGCTAATTTTGACTTAAGGAGTTCAGAGCTGGGAGTTGGAACTCCTGTGGGGAAAGGCTGGGAGAGCTGGGAATGCTCCCCTGGAGAGGAGAAGGCTCCAGGGAGAGCTCAGAGCCCCTGGCAGGGCCTGAAGGGGCTCCAGGAGAGCTGGAGAGGGACTGGGGACAAGGGATGGAGGGACAGGAGCCAGGGAATGGCTGCCAGTGCCAGAGGGCAGGGATGGGTGGGAGATTGGGAATTGGGAATTCCTGGCTGGGCTGGGATTGCCAGAGCAGCTGTGGCTGCCCCTGGATCCCTGGCAGTGCCCAAGGCCAGGCTGGACATTGGGGCACCCTGGGACAGTGGGAGGTGTCCCTGCCCATGCAGGAAGGGATTTAAGGTCTCCTCAAGTGTCCATGGGGAATATGCCGTAAAATTCACAGGTGACACCATCAGAACCCCAGGTCTGGATCCTAGAGCAGCTCAGGAGGTTCCAAATCCTCCTGCATGGAGCATTTATGGAAAAGGAGCTGGATGGGTTCCACCAGGATCAGCAAGTCCAAGTCCTGGAGTTGCCTTTGAGAGTCTTTGGGCTCTGTGAGTTTCCTGGTGGGACCTCACTTCTTCTGCCAGTGGCACACTGGGATTTGCTTTGGGACTTATTTGGTGGCCAAAGGAATCAGCCATAAAACTGGGACATGTGGCACTGTCAGGACATCTGCTATGGATCCTAGAGCAGCTCAGGAGGTTCCAAATCCTCCTACGTGGAGAATTTATGGAAAGGGGAGTGTGGAGCACAGGGAATTTCCATTCCTCGGGGCACTGCTGAGCACAGCCCTTCGTCTGAAGCTGAGGGATGGGGACAACCTTGGTGTCCCCTCAGGGGAACTGCCTGGACTGGGTCACCCTGAGCTTCCTTGGGAATGTGCCAAGGTGTGCCAAGACACTCCTGCACAGAAGGGACATTTTTCCATCTCCTCAAGAGCCCTCTGAAGAATA